TACAATGTACGATAAACTCAGACTGAGCGATTTAGAAAAAATATTTAACTTTAAAAAAAAAAACTGCGATAAAACATTTCTTAAAAGCATATTAAGATTACCAAAGAACGACGACGTTTCGAAGATGAATAAACATCATTATTAAGTCAAAAAAAAATTCGCAAGTTGCAGCGTATGCACACCAAAATAACAATGGGTGATAAAAAGCTCTACCGCAAGAAAAGAACAATAGTTGTTAAATAGTTTGGCATGTATGGAGTCCATCTGAATATTTAAATTATGCTTGAGATTCTTAATGAATAGCATTTCAAAGACTAAACGATCAAATTTCTCCTGGTACTTCTTATAACTCTAAACTGGTTTTCTTGCAAGAGGTGGTCGCTACCACTAACTTCCACGAAATATCCACCGCTTCCCGAATATTTGTGCTAAGCAATGCGTTGATAAAGGTGTCGTGCTGTGTAACCGACACAATCTGCATCGCACAGATCACGCGAGAAACGGTAAACAACTCATTGCCGATTTACAATAGCTATTGACGGCTTGCTTTATTTTGGTTAAAGATCTTGCCCTAATTTCTTGCTCCCAAAAACTGGCTGCAACGCAGGGAGAATCTCATGGTTAAGATTGCGCAACTGTTTCCGAACCACATTGGCGGTCACTTGATCTTTGGAAGGAAGATTAATTCTTACTGTGCCACTATTGTCGGTGTTTCTTTCCGCTGTGCCTAGCGAAGCATTTTTAAAGTAAAATAATTGATAGTGGAGTCAATAAAGCCCTTAGGGTAGTCAAGACGACTGAAAATGGAGCGTAATTTGACACATTCTGCATTAAAAGCTTCTTTTGCAGACGATAGAGCATAGGCTCGGTGTATCATTGTCTTTAATAAAGAGTCTTTGTAGCGTTTATCGTTGTGACTGTGGAGGTGTAACTTGAGTTTCAAGTTTAGCTCCGTTCTTGACGATTTCAATAATGCCGATAAAAGAGATCTCATTGACAGCGGTAAGCTCCATCGTGAAAGTTAGACTGGAGTGTAGGCTATTCAGAGTAGTAAGAAACACAGCAGCAGCAGCAGCGATAGGCATTCTGGCCAAAGTGTCGTTGATGTACCTCTTCTACAGATGGGGCATTAAGTCATCGCGCGTAAGTATTTCTTCAAGATGACACGTTAGAGTACCACGAGGGGAGCCCATAGCCACGCCATCTGTTTGTTCGTAAGGTTGACCGTTGAACTGAAAAAGCTGATTAGTTGTGGCAATTTTGAGTAGTTCAGCAAGCTGATCCTTTTGCAGATTAAGGTCGTTGGTTTTGTTTAACCAATCATCTGTGGAGGCTTTGTTGACCAAGATGCTGATAGTCTCATATGAAGGTATATTGGTGAAGAGAGCTGCGACGTCGTAAGAGATCAATGTTTCGTTTAGTAAATGGGCGTTGCCTTTGATGACAGATATATTTTAATACTCCGACTCGTGATTGATATTAATTCCGTACAATGATTTAAAAGTGTTAGCTTATTATGTTTTAAACCAGTTTTCAGAAGAACCAATAACAGAGAGAAATCGGTTTTTATAATCTGTTCCCTTACCCGAATCTGTTAACCTGAAGAGAGAAACCTGTTTTTACGACTCGCCACAGAAGTAAGTTTCCAATCACGTTTTTCTTGCATTTTGCTTCTAGATTAAAACTTAACTTGCATTTTTCTGATTTCGAATTACAACTGTATTTCTCTTAGGCCGAATAATTATTCAAGCTTGGATGATATTATACGGTTTGTGGTTGTCGTCTGAGCTGACCAGTTCCAAGTAAGGAAACAGCCAATATGTCTTCATCATTCATAGAATGGGTACGAATCTCATAAGCAAGGGCAAAGGCGTCAGTAATTGTATGCGCATTTATGAAGATTGATTTCAGCTTTTCTTCAAGCCATTTAGCCAGATTGTCATTGTAGGTTTCGGTTGCTGATAAAATAGGCCTCATGCCCAGGGTGGCTTTGTGAGTCTTAGGTAGGCTATAGAGATGAGCGAGCCTGAAACTTTTTGGAGAAAGTGAATTAGCAATTTCTTCAGGCAAAATTCGATGTAAAGTTTCCTGCAGCTCTTTCTCTTTCTGAAGGAGAGGGTGTTAATGCTTAGGTGGTCGTCCACGCATTTTTTCCGGTCGCATGTTATCAACGTTTGAAAATTTAGAGGTTTTTTTTAATTACTATTGTTCTTTTATCACGGTATAGCTTTTTATCACCCATCGTTCATTCATGTAAGAGCATTATTCCTTTTAAGTGAAATGCCCAATTCAAACGAGAAACTCTAAGAAAAAGCATAGTAACAGAACGCAAGGAAACTCGATCGGCCATCGATAAGTTTCCAGTCAAAACTCAACTTAATACTTAAGTTTTTCACTGAAAAAGAGAAATTTCAAAGTTACCTCATCAGCAGAGTCAGCAAAATGGTTTTCTAGGTCGTTTTCTTCTTCTAAAATGCTTAAAATCGCATCAAAGTCGTCACCCAAGATATAGAGATCACTGAATTCCGCCATGTTGTTTTGAACTGTGTGCGCGGTCATGCTTCAGTGACGGTACGTTCAAGTTCGACTATGCCTAACAATAGGGGCGTTCTTTGAAGTTCGCCGAGCTTCCTAACCGGTCCCCTCTACTAACATGGTTTATTTTGTATGTATAGACTGCAACTTACAAATATTTTTTTTTTTACTTAATAAAACGTTCAGCCAACGTTGAAAGATTGTCAATTCTTGTAATCTCAAAAGGCTTTTAAGAAGTATTTCGTATATGTGCACGATCCTTCGCTGACCTCTGCGATACTAGTGTTTGTTGTTTGATTCATCATTTACGGGTTTATGTCGAATTAATTTGATGGCCTGCTCCCAGTTGGCTTGTTAGCTCAATTGGTAGAGCGCTGCACTAGTATCGCAGAGGTCAGTGGTTCGAATCCCGTACAGGCCTGAATTTTTTTCAGGTCTGATTTTCACTATTGCTTAAATAGTGCTTTACTGCGAAGGATCGTGCACATATACGTTTCATAACCGCAGTTCATATATATGTATTTCATATGTTTGTTGTAAGAAGTATTTCATCGCAATTTTTGACGAGATAAACTCGGTCCTAAATGTTGTGGGTTTTTCTTTCTTTTTTTTTGTTTGCTCTCTGACAAAAAATTCATCCTGTTAGATGCGTTATATTTATCATCTGTTAATCATTGAGCCAAATTCAATTTGCACAGCAATTTATATTAGGGAGAATAGGTACGAATTTGTATTCTGTTCGAATACCACTTACAGCAATCTAATGACTAATATCACAACGTTAGATTATTTTTTATCACTCATATTTGTATAACAAATATATAAGATAATATAAACAAATATATTTTCACAGAAAAAAAACTTACACCACAATTATTAGAACATGTTGGGCTACAAAATATGAAAGTAGGAGTGAGTGATAGCAAATTTGGGTGACTTGCCGCTGTTTGTCTGATTTATTCTGACATTAGCTCTTAAGTGAAATAGGTACGAATTCAAACTGTTCGAATACCACTTACAACAATGAGTATTATCACGGTGTTTGATTATTTTGTTATCACTCACATCTGTATAACAATAGGCTACTTGGACTGTTGCGAGGGGAGGTGATAGCAGAGCAGTTTCTTTTCGGTTGCAAATAAACTATTATCCGTCACCTCTTTCGCTTTCTCCGGTTCCTGTAAAGCTTAAGAATTACGACAGTATTGAATGCTGTTGGAGCTGTACAATCCATTTTCTTCTGTGCCTATCCGGAATGACAATAAAATTTCAATATTTATTCCGCCGTAGTACAATAAAACCAAACATCGGATTCGAAAGTCATGTCACTACCATTGCAAGATAAAATCGATGAAGCTGGATCAAAGTCAATATGCTATTTTTAAATATATTTATCATGCAGTTCTTTCAGTGAATTTTAAACAAACCAAGTGCATGATAATTTTACGAAAACTAGACTTCAAAAACCTGACTGCCTGTTATCTTTAATCAATTGACAACGAAAAAAAGGCTTCTGATTAAAGAGGCTGAATACTTAGAACCCCGCTGTATTCTTATCTCACAAATTTTCGGTTGGCAAGAAACATATTACAAACTAGTGGTTCGAACGATAGAATAACTTAACTAACTCCAACGTGTCATGGGTGTGATAAAAAAGATCGAATGAAAGTTGTGGAAAAAAAGGTAAAAAACCCAGATCGTGATAAAACAGAGAAATTCTACGATTTTGACTTTTTCTTTATGTATCAGTTCCACTTGTGACCTGCAGGTTTTTTTTCCTTTCTGTATGTGTGTGTATGTGGGCATGTTTTGATAGATGTTGTCCAAATGAGCTTACATCTGCAGTGAGCTTAAAAGTTCACCATGCAAACTTGAACAGTCAATCTTTAGTAAAACTCTATAATTCGCTCGTTATATTCTCCCGGGCACCCAATTTGGCGTCAACGAAATGTAAAATCACCTTGTAAACCGCCGGCTGAGGTAATGTTTAAAGCGCACCTGAGACGAAAATTGACCATTAAATTTTGGGCTAATTCTTTTACAGAATGTTGAATTGGGTCAAGTGAAAACCCTTTTTGCCGTTAAAACTCAAAATAAACCTTCGATGATCAATTTTTACTGCCTCAAAGTCGTCCAAAAATCGTCCGCCATTGCTGAAAACATGTTCCAGCCGAGCTCGCAAAAACGTCATCATGGCGTCAAAGGCTCAACAAACTTATGCTTTGCTCTGTTCACAACTATCTTTGTTCGTTGCACAGAGAATCACAGATATTACTTTTTTGAGAACTGTTTCGTTGTCAGTCGGGAAATGTCGACTTTTTCAGACGATGAATTGTCCCAGAAATCATCTGAAGCTTCTGTGGATAGTTTTGCGCTGACAAACGATGAATTTTTGTCATGCGAAAAAAGATAAACACAGAACGGCACGGACTCTCCATGTGGCTTTTGTGGTCGTATCGCTTTAT